TGCAGTCTATGCTGTCACCGGCAACTCATGGCAGCCCAGCTCCAGGTCGAGCCACTGCTCACCATCCTAGGTGTAGAGGGCACAGCGTCACTGGCCCATGTGGGATCCAAACTGGCAGTCCTGCTGCTCAGAGCTGGTGCTCCCAAGCCAACTCTTAACCAACGAGCCACTCCACCGGCCCCATGGCATTTCAGTTGCATCTCACAACTTAATAGACTATTACAGATTTACCTACTTTTGGGTAAATACATTCCCTCTTTACTATAACTTCTAAAACAATGTTTAAGAGAGAGAATAAGGTCTTAAAATAGGTATTTAAAAGAGTTTAAAATAGCTGGAGTGGTAGGTGTAACCTACTTGTCGTGACAAGCCCTGTTAAGTTTTTAGCAGGAGAGTGACTTGCAAATGTGGAAAGATCACCTTGGCAGCATCATGAGGCTGGATTGGTAGTGGACATAGCTGTATATAGACGAGGAATCTGCTCAGGAGGCTGGTGGAATAATTTAGCCAAATGATGAGGACCATAACAGAAACGTGTTATTTGGCTGCTGACAAATGGGTAGATTTCTGAGAGGTGTTGAAGAGGCATAAGTGATCACATTATGACTGAGAGTACGAAGGGGAGGGACAAAGTTGTATGACTCCTGGATTCCAGGCTTGAATTGAAGGAGTATGCAGTTACTTTTGACACTAACTACCCGAAATTGGGCCAAACTTCCCAGGTTAAAGTGCGGTTTTCCACAAGACTGCCCTCACTTCATATGCCAGCTGCAAACTTGGGGGTCTCCAGGTTACCCTTACTTCTGACTAGCTGGCTATAAATTTGGGGCTTCTCTCTACCCCCTCAGGTTCAGTAATTCTCTAGAATGACTCACAGAACTTAGGAAAGTATTATACTTAAGATTGCAGTTTTATTATAGCAAAAGGAGGCAACTCAGAGCTAGCCAAAGGAGGAAATGCGTAGGGTGCGATCTGGGAGGATGCTGAAAGTAAAGCTTCTGCGTCTGCTCCCCGTCGAGTCAGGAGGCTTTGCCCTCCTAGCACATGGATGATGACAATACACAGAGTATTGCCAACCGGGAAGCTCACCCAGGCTTCAGGGTCTAGTTTTTATTGGAGTTTCATGAGAATCTTTGCCAGTGCCTCACAATCTCCAGTCCTCCTTCCTGTCCCCAGAGGTCCATTTGATATCACATGGCTCAAAGCCCCAATCCTCTAATCACATGGTTGTTTTTTTCTGGGTAATCTCATTAGCATACATGATGTAGGGGCCCACCACAAGTCACCTCATTAGCATACAGTTTCTGGGCTTGGCAACAGAGACACTCCTGTCACTTGGGAAATTCCAAGGATTTAGAGTCTACTTCCCAGAAACTGGGGGAAAGGCCAGCCAAATTATTTATTCCATAGGGTACAATGAACCGATACTGGAAATGGAGAAAAGGAGCAAGTTTCGATAGAAACAAAATATGTTTAGGTAAATACTCAGCTGGTCATTGGAAGTAGAGGTCTGGAGGTTAGAGTGGAGTTTGAGTTAAAATTGTGAGGTATCAGTGGTGGCTGATAATATGCGTACGGATGAAATTGTTGAAGGAGTTTTATAAAGGGAAAAGGACCACAGACTTAGACTTGCTCCAGGAGTGTAAAGGGCGGAGGAAGAGGAGACACGAAGACACTGAAGATAGTCACGATGGAGAAGTATCAGGAAAGAGCAGTGTCACAGAGCCAACCAGGGAGGAGGGATCTCAGGAAGAAGGGAATGAACAACAGGGATCTGCAGAGAGAGAGAAAGAAGACGTGAATTGAAAAGTGGCTACTGGATTAGAAAGTTAGGCATTTTTAGGGAAGTAGGGGAGGCAGAAGCCAGATTGTAGCTCCGGGGGGAGGCAATAATAAGCATAAACCGTTTCTTTAAGAAGACTGCCTGAGAAGGGAATGTCAGAGACTTGGATAGTAGCTAGAGGAATTGTATGGTCAAGCAAAGGATTTTTCTAAAAATGGGACAGGTGCAAGTATGTTTATATCACAAGGGGAAAGCGCCAGTAGAGAAGGTGGTACAGGAAGTAGAGAGGGTAATTGAAGGAGTGATGTCATGAGGAGGTGAAATTATAAATACTGCACTGAATGTACAAGCTGGGTCTGCACAGATGCTCGTGTTGGAAATTAACTCCTACTGGAGGTGGCCACGTGAATGACGTTACAGGAACTGAGGGCACTGAAAGGGAGGGGACATTAGAAAGGCAAGGATGAGCTTTGCTGTAGGTGTAGCCTGTACTTTGAGTTGTTTACAGTTTTCAAAATACCAGTCTCACGCACAGTTAAAGGCTCCTTGCAAAGCAAAAAGGTTTTTTTGTTTTTTTTTATAAAACTAGTGTTTCAAATCCCAGTGATCCCCGGTGGTTTGTTTTGAGTGTCAGCATTCTATAGCTAGAAAAGGGTTTGGACAGTTTCTGAATTTATGAAACTTTGACATGCATATAGCTTCCCAAGTTTAAACCTCCACCTTATTAAACTACATTAAATGGGTCAGAATTCCTCTTAAAATCACCAACTATTATGCAAATGTGGTGTTAACTATATACCCAAGCCTCCATTAGAAGTGGCTAGTGAAGTATTTAAGAATCCACTAGTCTTCAAGACAAGAGCATTGGTATTTTCAAATAATCTTGACTCCTCATTGATCTAGTTTTATAGAATACTTTTCTGTTTATTTTCAAAGATGAGAAGCAATCAAAATTTAGTTTTTAGTCTATATTATCTTTATTGGCTTTTTCATCAGTAACATTGTTTTATGTAAACTAATGACTGTCTAGCTGATAAAATGCTAGCTACTTTGATTATGTTTGAATCACCACCAGATTCCTGCTACCTTATTGGCTAACAGATGGCTCTTTATATTTGATTGAAAGCTTTGTGGTATAAGTGTGTTTTGGAAGACAGGTTTGTTGTCTTAATTTCATTTTGTTGATACAGAGCAGTCACTCTTAAGCCCTGCTCAAGAATATGCATATTTACCTTCTGCCAGGTTTATGAAAATTGCGTAGGTTCTTTCTAAATCTATCAGAAAGCTCGTGGTATGGGCCCTTTGCTAGCCCATCTCTGAGCACCTCTGACGTGTGACATTTCGTAAAATTACTCTTAATTTTTTCCTGTCTATAAAATGATACTTGTGCCAAATTCACCTGGATTTTCCTGTAAAAATTAAGTTTATCTTTTGATGGGAAATTTTTCTTATGCATTAATAGTTGATGAAATTATAAGGAAGCATTTTAATCTGACAAATCATTCAGTGCATCTTTTGAAATTCCAGGGTGTGCTAATGGTCGGACCCCCAGGCACCGGGAAGACCATGCTAGCTAAAGCCGTTGCCACAGAGTGTGGCACAACGTTTTTCAATGTGTCCTCTTCTACCCTGACGTCTAAGTACAGAGGCGAGTCTGAGAAGCTAGTCCGTCTGTTGTTTGAAATGGTGAGTAACGATGTATTCAAATGGAAAGTACTGTTGGTGTAGGCAAATGATACTCTTGTCATCTACATCCATTCACCTACGGCAGGCGTCGGTGTAGTTTTTAATAGTTCTGACCACTGATAAGTTATGGAGTGGTGGGTTTTGTGGAGTCATCAACGTGTCTTCAATGTATCTTCCTCTTGGAGGCAAGAGAAGGCCCTCTGGCCTCCTGCCCAGTGAGGGTAGAAGAGACTTTGGAAGTGTGTGTGGTGCGACTGGTATTTCTGTGTCTCTAATGAGCTGGTGGAGCAGAAGTCTATTTTAATATGTATTTTAAAAATCAGTTAAAAATTGATCTATCATTAAAGTTTGTTCCTTTTCATAAAGGACTTGAAATAGTTACTTAAGAATGATTTATTTTTTTAAAAAAGTTTTGTATTACAGAAATTTTCTAACACAAAAGTAGAACAAATAGTACTGTGAATCCCCATGTATGTCACCCAAGTTTGCCAACTTGCCTTTTATTTTTAGAAATTTCCTTTTTTGATATGAATGATGGATTTAACCTCTGTCAGTAACCAGAGGGTGGCGTTAAAGCACGGAGAAGCTTCTGCTCTTCTTTACCATGACTTTAGAAGGAAGAAATGATATTTTTAAAATGTAGATTATTTTATAAGATCACGGAATAACTCCTTTAAAATATTTTCACAAAGGCTAGATTTTACGCCCCCACCACAATCTTCATTGATGAGATCGATTCTATCTGCAGTCGAAGGGGAACCTCTGATGAGCACGAGGCAAGCCGCAGAGTCAAGTCTGAGCTACTCATCCAGATGGATGGTAATTGATATTTAATTACTGCCTCAAAACCGTTATATTTCCTTTTTGAGTTTTGTGTGGATTCATACTTGGGAAATTCTCAGTGGATGGACTAGAAGGTAGCCTGAATTTTCCTGTAATCATTTGTTCATGCACCCAAAAAGCCTTTCTTGTGTACCTGTTAGGAGTCATACACCATTTAAGGCTCTCCAGTTACAAAGAAAGGAATGTCATGGCCTTTAAGGAATTTACTATTTAGAGCAAAGGTTCTAGGGATGTGGTCCAGGGTCCCGGGGGTCTTTAAAACTCGTTTGAAAGGTCTGCAAGGGCTAAACTATTTTCATAATAATATCAAGGCATTAGTTAACTTTTCACTCTCATTCTCTTACAAGAGTTTTTCAGGTGCTACAAGACATGTGGGATATAATAGATGGAAAGCAGAAGCAGCTATCCAGCTGTTCTCCATTGAGTCAGACATTAAAGAGATTTTCCAAAAATGTAAAAAAAAAAAAAAATGCCACTCTTCTTACTGAGTTTTTTGGGGGGTGGGGTTTGGAAAATCATAGTATTTTTCATAAAAACATGTTATTTATGTTAACAAATAATGGGCTTATTATTGTCATTTTAAAATGAATTAATATTTTAAAAAATTCTCAGTTTTAATTTTTGATGACAAGTATTGATACTCCACACACACAAAATCTCTTTGGAGCACAATAATTTTTAAGCGTATATAAGGATCCTGAGACCAGAAAGTTTGAGAACCACTGATCTACGTGGGAAGCAGGCAAGTTTACAGACAATAACAACATGTTATCATTTCTGTGGCAGAACTAAACTCTAGGTGTAGTGAAAACACAGCAGGAGAGGGACCACCCAGACTGAGGGAGTCGAAGGGAATAGGTGACTTGGGCTTTGAAGCGTCAGTAGAAGTTATTCAGACAAAGAAGAAAAGGCATTGGAGAGCCATTGAAGGAAGATAGTGATGGGCACAGAGCTGCTTCTTAGACACACATTACTCTGGTCGTTGTAAACAGGAGGCCATTTGAGCAAACTGCATAACATGTTAGATATCAAGAGTGTGTCATTTTAAAACAGCTATAGTTATCCATCAACCATGGGTACTTACTGAATACTTATAATGGGTGTTTATACAGTGCCAGGTACTGTAAGGTCCATAAAATAAAGTACTACAGTCCCTTACCTCAAAGGTTTGGTCATTTTTAAGTTCTGCTGAAGTATGAGAGAAAGGAGTGACTATGCTATGTTTTGGGGGATGGATATAGAGGAAAGCACATTACATGTTTTAAAAATATCACAAAATACAAATTTAGTCAGCTGAATTTCATTTAGGGGTATTTGTGACTGTTGGTGATTGTTAGTTGGACAGCTTGATCCTTTGTGATAATGATTCAAATAGTAGTTTAGTAATAATTTATTAAGAAAATACCATAATGAACTAGGTTGCTTTTAAATTCACTACTTTGTTATGCCAGGCTAGAAACTCTTGTTAGTTTGTGAGTGTTTGATATTTTTTCACTGCATATTTTCCAGCGTTTCCATTGTACAACCTGAAGTTTTTTTATTCTAGAATTTTAGTTCTGAAAAAGTAGACTCTAGGTATATATATACTTGGTTTGATACAAAAAGAAATGGTATTTTCAGTAGTGACTGGTTATTAGGTTCATTCTTAAATTTCTTGTTTATTTTTCATGAGTCACTTAGAAGTTTGAAGGACAAAACTATTACAGCATAACTGCCTTTCAAAATTATGATTGCATGCTAGTATATTAAGTAAATGTGAACCCTCTTCTGTTCTCTCTTCTTGAGAAAATCAAATAAATTAGACTAACAACTAAAATAAAAATTTTGGGGGAGAACTTCATGATTTAAAAATATTAGAGAGGACTAAAACAGCATCATCATCTCTCATGTCTTTTCAAAGGAAATATATATTCATTCATTTTTTTTTTTTACAGAAAAATATGGTTTTTCTTACTGGATTGGAATCCTGCAGTAGATTATGTGAATTCTTCTACCTTCTTGTTTATAGTTATCTGTTGATGTGTCTGGTTCTGCCACCATACAGAGGTCAGAAGGACTGAATTATTCACATCACTGAGCCTGCCACCAAGCCAGTGACTGATCTGAGAAATGCTAGTTGAACAAAAGAATAAAGAACTTTAAGAAAAACGTTCTTTTTTCCCCTTACTGTGTGTAGGAGTTGGAGGAGCTTTAGAGAATGACGACCCTTCCAAAATGGTTATGGTATTGGCTGCTACTAATTTCCCGTGGGACATTGATGAAGCCTTGCGAAGGAGATTAGAAAAGAGGATTTATATACCTCTCCCAACAGGTATGATGTGTTGCTTTTACTATATTTCCATCTTTCTTTTGCTTCCTGTTACCTTTTTAAAAAATTTCTCTAAGTCTTTATTCCATTGGCATTCTGCTTAAAAAAGTTTATAGCACTGTAAAACCTACTTGTAGATGGAATACAGGCCACAGCACTCTGTTGAGGTTCCTTACATTTCAGAGCAGTTCTTACATTGAGAGCAATATTCATGTTTCTAAATCTGGTAGGACATCAAAGCTTTTACTTTTGAAGAGTCTTCATTAAACCTTAAGTGATTAAAAATAAAGCTCTCTTGAGATATTTTTAAAAATATGCTGCTTTGAAAAATAAAATTTTATCCTATTGATGAATGTTGAAATTTTCATAAGTGAATTTTTTCTTTTTATATTGAGATCAAATTTACATGGAGTGAAATGTACAAGTCTTCAGTGTGTAATCTGATGAGTTTTGACAGATGAATACTTCTGTTTCATCAGTACTCTACTAGAGATGTAGGACATCTCTGTCACCCCAGAAAGTTTCTGCCTCTTAACCAATTAATTCAAACCTCCTTTACTTTCCTGATTTTTATTACCATAGATTTGTTTTACCTATTGTTAAACATCATATAAATGGAATCATGACATATGTACTTACGTGTCTGGCTACTTTCACTCAACGTAATGTTTTTGAGATTCATCTGTGTAGTTAGTTATATGTATCAGTAGTTTATTCGTGGTGTGCTCATACTATAATTTGTTTATTCTCTTTTGGATGTACATTTGAATTATTTCTAAGTTTTTACTATTATGAATGAAGGTACAAATATTCTTTTACAAATCTTATGTATGAATATTTTCAGTTCTTTTGGGTAACATAGATAAGAAATAATAGGTGGATCATAGGGTAGGTATGTTTATAATACCCAAACTGCTTAAGTGGTTGTACCATTTTATACTTCCACCATGAGTGAAGGAAAATCCCAATACGTGCGTATCCATATCAACATTTGGTATTGTCAGTATTTTATTTTAGCCATTCTAGTAAGTTTGAATTGTTATCTTATTATGGTTTTAATTTGCATTTCTCTGGTGACTAATGATGTGGTGCACTTTTTTTTTTTTAAAGATTTTTATTGGGGAATTGGGGGATGGGAACAGCGCTGGGGAATTGGGGGAAGGGGAACAGACAAGTTGCTGTCATTTTGTTCTTCAGTCTAGTTGCTTCACTGAGGACGTCGCTTCACTGGCCCAAGTTGGCCACCACCATTGCGCTCTTCCCAGGCGAGGCAGATCAGTTGCCGGCTTCTGGACAGCCGCTCACTGCAGCTGCTGGCCACTCACGCTGGCTGCTGGCTACACACGGTAGCCCATGGCAACCCAGTGCAGCAGGGGCTGCAGCCTATGCCATTGCCGGTGACTCACAGCAGCCCAGCTCCAGGTTGAGCTGTTGTTCAGCATCTTAGCTGTAGAGGGCAGTGTCACTGGCCCTCATCTGTGGGATCTGAACCGGGGCCCTCTGGCGTCCCAAGCCAGCTCTTAACCAATGCACCACTCAGCCAGCCCTGGTGCACTTTTTCATGTGCCTGTTGGTCTTTGGCATATCTTTTGTACAATGTCTTTTCAAGTCTTCTGCTCAGTTTTAATTAGTTTATTTTTTGTTTTATTAATGTTATGTAGTTCTTATCAAATACATGCATTGTGAATATTTTCTTCCAGTTTGTGGTTTCCCTTTCAGTTTTCTTTATGGTATCTTTCAATAAGCAGATGTTTTGATTTTGATAAAGTCCTCTTGTCTTGTCAGATATTTCTGCTATGGATAGTGCTTTTTGTGTTTTAAGATGTCTTTGCCTACCCCAATGAGGCAAAAGTTTTCTCCTATATTTTCTTTTAGAAATTATAGTTCGATCTGTGATCCATGTTGAATTCATTTTGTGTGTATGTATCAGTTAGGGATTGAGTTTCATTTTTTTTCCTATGCCTATCGAATTGTTCTAGCACCACTTGTTAAGAGGAATTTTTTTTTCCCACTGAATTACTTTGGCACTTTAATTGAAATTTATTTTGCTATACAGATGTGGGTCTATTTCTGAATTCTCTGTTCTGTTCCATTGATTTAAAAAAAAATTGATACAAGGCTGTTTTGTCAGGTTATCTATTTTTTCTTGAGTAAGCTTTGGTAGCTTGTGTCTTTCAAAGAATTGGTTCGTTTCCTCTAATTTATCTAATTTATCGGACATGACCTAGTACAAATGTGAAAGTCGACTTAATGGTTTATGTGAAGATGTTGTTTGAAGTCAGTAGGGAAGGCAGTCAGGAAGAGAAGATGAAGTGATGGAAACAAGGACAAATATAACATGTGGGGATAAGCTGGAACCCATGAGGATAGACTGGAATCCAGGTTGGGCTCTTATTGCCTCTCAGACTTCCAACTTTGATGATTGGGATGTCCTGTAGAAGAATCTGGCACTGTTTGTAACATTATTAAATATACACCTGTCTTAGGAATCAAAAAAGCTGGAGGAGGAAATCTGACAGGAGCTGGAAAGAGTGGGAGGCCCAGGTACTTCTGACACTAACAATGAGAGCCAGCAGATAAGTGACAATATGCATGAGCTGCAAATGCACCTCATGCCCTGAACCATCTTTCTGAGTTGATTTATTTCTGCCTTTCAGATCTTAACCCCTAATGACTTATGTGTTCCACACTAATCCAGAGCTATGCAATGAAGGGAATTCTGGGAAGAAATTCCAGCTCTGCTCAAGTTGGCATACTACAAATCCACACACCTCATTTTCCTTTTATTGTCTGTAGGATCTATAGTGTTGGCTCAGTTTTCATTCCTGAAATTGGTAATTTGTGTTTTGTCTCTATTGTTCTTAATCATTCTTGCTAGAGATTTATCAATATTATTCTTTTCAAAGAACCAGCTTTTTACTTTGTTAATTTTCTGTTTCCTATTTTATTGAATTTTTTCTCTGACTCTAATTATTTCTCCTTAATATTTTGAGTGTAATTTTCTCTTCTTTTTGTGAGTGATTTTAAACCTTTTCTTCTTTTAAAAATATAAACATTTAAAGCTATAAATATCTCTTTAAGCTTTGGCTTCATCCCACACATTTTCTATACCATATTTTCTTTACTATTCAATAAGAAATACTTTCTAATTTTCATTTTTCTTTCTTCTTTGACTCTTTGAGTTATTTAGAAGTGTGTGGTTTAGTTAGTATCCAAATGTGGATTTTTCTAGATATCTTGTTGATTTCTAATTTAATTCCATTATAATCAGGAACTGCTCTATAAGATGTAAGTTCTAAATTTTAGTGAGATTGATTTTGATTCAGCATATAATCTATCTTGGTGAATGTTTCCGTATTCATTGATTATAATATTCTGTAAATGTCAGACAAGTTGGCGTGATAATGTTCAAATCTTCTAGATCCTTACTGATTTTCTTACTCTGATTTTTCTATCAGTTACTGAGAATAGGTTGTTAAACTCTTTAAGTATGATTGTGAATTTGTTTTTTTAATTCTGTCAGTTTTTGCTTCATGCACTTTTAAGCTGTTTTTAAGTACATAAGTAGTTACCATTGTTATATCTTCTTGCCTTTTCTGCCATTATGAAATGTTTCCCTTTATCTCTGGTTATATATACGCTTTGACTTCATGTTTACTTTGATATTAATAAAGCCTTACCATCTCTGGTTGCTGTTTGCATATGATATCGCTGCTTCCTTCCTTTAATTTTCATCCTGCCTTTATATTTGCAGGGCAGTTCTTGTAGACAACATATAATTGAGTCTTGTTATTTATTTATCTAGTTTACCTCTGTGTTTTTTTTTTAAATATTTTTATTGGGGAATTGGGAGTTGGGAACAGCGCTGGGGAATTGGGGAAGGGGAACAGACAAGTTGCTGTCGTTTTGTTTTCCAGTCTAGTTGTGGAGGACGTTGTTTCACTGGCCCAAGTTGGCACCATCATTGCACTCTTCCCAGATGAGGCAGATCAGTCACCAGCTTCTGGACGGCCGCTCACTGCGGCTGCTGGCCGCTCACGCTGGCTGCTGGCT